CCTAGCAAAACACTGTAGCAATTGTACAGTACACAATGAGGGCCCGGGCGGCCTGCTGGGCTGGATCTGCCCCTGGATCCAAGGCATACTATTTTTGAAGCTTATTTGATAAATGTATGTACGATAAATGAAGTATTTTACTCAGCATGATCCTTTCTCCCTCGCATGCACCTATTCATTAGCACTATCAGCCATGCAAAATACTCCTTCATTCTTGTAAAGCAATCATCAGAGGTCAGTCCTATCACCTGTCTTTGTGCAAAGTCCAAAAACACTGCACATTAATCAACAGAGGGGATATTAGTATATACTGAGTGTTGGTTGGTGGTCCGTGTGCGTGTTTATTAAGTTGTTTCTGTCTGGATCATCCACATTTCATATTGTCTTAAACATCTTCCTTGTTATTTTACCAGCTAAGCATTGGCAAGCAGTGGAAGGAAATTCTTGAGTACAAGGACTCAATTGAGTTCATTGTTCATGATAGTGATGCAACGGCAGTACAATGCTGGTCTTCCACGTTTCCCGATGATCCCCTTGACGTCATCTACAACAAGGTCCCCAGTCACTGCAGCCGCGTGCGCTTTGCTGCCGTCTGCAGGTCGTGGTGCACTGCAGCTTCGCGGCACCCTGCACTGCCTGAACTTCCGTGGCTGCTCCTCTCACCACGCGACCGTGACACAACGAAGCGCCTGTACTGTCCTGAGGACAGCAAGAACCTGCGCATCTCGCTCCCGAGCGATTTCATCGGCAACTGGTTCGTCGGCTGTCATGGTGGTGGCTGGGTTGCATCATTTGAACCGCCACCGTTCAGGATCTTGAACATTTTCTCCAGTGTTGAGGTTGCGCTCTCCGAGAAACAGAAGGGAATCGTTTGCCCAGGCCGCCTTGGCCAGATCATCATTTGGAAAATCATCTTCTCCAAACCACCCACCTCAAGTGACTGTATCATTGCTGCCATCACCGACAATCACGGCATTGCGCTCTGCAGGGTTGGGTCTCCGAACGGTGGGTGGACGACAAAAGGAGATGTAAGCTACACCATGGAGCTTGCAGACATCGCCTTTTGCAACGGTGAGCTCTATGGCCTCACACGAGACAGATGGGAACTTGTCAAGTTTGTGATCGGCGTTGACGAAGACGGCGCGCCTCTGGTCACGGCCGTGGATCGGCTGGTGGTCACCCCCGAGCACCAGCAGCCCCCAAGTGTCTGGGCCAACCGGGTGGATGCCAGCTACATTTTTGAGCTACACGGCAAGCTTGCGACGGCGGTGAGGTCCCCATGGTCACCCAACCTCAGACCATTCTTCAAAGTGTTCGAACTCGTTGACATCGAGGCCAGCGAGGGGATGGCACATGGCGCACACAAATGGGCAGAGGTGATGAGCTTGGGTGACTTTGCCCTATTCCTGGGTCCAAACAGCTCCAAGGCGGTGCATGTGTCAGCAGACAGGCGCGGTGGTGTGAAGAGAAACCACATCTACTACTCCTACCATCGCCGCTTAGCGCAGAAGGAGGTCCTTCTCAGCACTGACCTGGTGTTCCTGACAAGCTCCAATGCTGATGGTGATTCCGTGTACTACAGGGAAGATGAAAGCTTATCCGCAGCCGTGGGCGGCGTTCATAGGATCGGGGCAGTAGGATACTATGTCAGGGGTAGCCCTAATCCTCCATTGTGGCTTCTCCCCCAAGCATAGCGTTTTTTATATATATATATATATTGTATTGCTTAGCTGCTGCACATGTTCGCTGTATAACCGTAAATGCTCTATGGTTTCAACCATGTTGTATTTAGAACAAATGTACAGCAATTATAATCGATCTGTACTCATGAATAAGAGAAGAAGTAGTGAATCTTCTATATTCTTTTCCCAGTTAACTTGGGAGTTTGAGTTGAATGCCGGTGCCTGGGAATAGCTGGCGGATATGAACTCAAATGAACAAGCTGAGATAATATGAACGTCTGATAAGTAATGTGTCATGTGTCAAGATAGTTCAAGGTTGTTTTTTTCGTTGGGAAAAGAACTTGTGTTTGCCTGAGTGATCAAACTCCGGTCCTATAATTTTCTTGACAGCAGTTCTTTCCCCTTGAAACATGGGCAAAAGCTTTGCCTCATTTCATTGAATAAGAAGATTTATGAACGGAAGTGTTGTTCCGCTCCCGGGTGCATTAGAGAAAATAGGGAGAAAATCAAAAAAATCAAAAAAAGTTCCTAAAAAACATTGTCGAATGTTTTATCAACATGCAAAGTTTAGTGATGAATAACATTCGTGGACGTCCGGAAAAAAGATCGATGTCCCAAAATGCTTTAAAAAATTGCCCTTTAAGAACATCATTTTTTGTATTTTTTGCCTAGACCTCCACGAATATTTTCTTTCAGCACGAGAATTTGTTTGTTGGTAAAACATCCATCAATGTTTCTCTCAAAAAAATTATTTAAAATTATTTGATATTTTTTCTTCTGATTTTACTGTTCACTTCGGTGCATATGCACCCAGTACAGAAACTCCATGTCTGTTAATGAAGTACAACACTCGAATGAGGGCTCGACACATACATGGAGGGGATTACTCTCGCAGCATGACCGCGCTCAAGTGCTTCGCCCCCAGAACACGCCTCGAACTTGGTGTTGGCAAAGATAGTCATTGGTGAGGCATAAATGTTCCGGAACACCCGTGCATTCCTTCCATTCCAATTTCCCAAGACGTGAGCACCATGAGGGAGGCCAACGCCTTCCTCCGATGACCATTGACATGGATTACAACGAACCACCCACCAATTTTCCCATTATGAAAGTTGGGTTAATCGACGAAGGAGAGATTGTGGAGACCAAACCAATCTCTTAGCATGGTCCAAACGTGCATGGAGATGCGACCGTGGAACATAAGGTGTGCAACAGTTTCCGGGGCTCTATTTCAAAGCTCGTAAAAGCTGCGGTTCAGCCAACCTCGGCGTTGAAGGGAGTAGGCTGTCCAAATTTTGTTTTGCAAGATAAGCCAAGCAAAAAAAGAAAATTGATCTTCGGAGGCGCCCAGTTACTCGACACCACCGGCTTTATGATGGACGAGGCAATGTCATCAAACTGTGTCTTGTAAGCGGACACCGAAAAGTAGGCTCCAAGTTATGGCATCAGGCACGTCGTCGTTTAAATGCACCTCACTAAGGAGCTCCCATAGGGAGAAGAACTCCATGAGCTTCTGCACATTTCAGCTCCATCAAAATGTCCATCTTGCTTATCCATTCATCACCCACAAAGTGTAACAATACCGTTCTTTAGCTTGGACAACGCAAAGACTGAGGGAGCAATTTCTTTCGGTTTCACACCATTGCGCCAAGAGGCATGCCAAAATTTGGCCTTATTTCCATCTCCAACCACAATGTTGGTGCAGTTATAGAAAAGGTTCATGCCATCTGTGTGTCACATGATGTTCCCAAACTCACCCAAGACCAAGCTGGGTATGTCCACTCTAGGCAAGGCCATCGAAGTCATAGCGCCATCGCAAACGGGGTCGAGTTGGACTGGCCCATATCGCGAGAGGGTGAGCGATTTCTGTGATTTGCACACTATTCTTGATCCTTTTATAGCCTATAATTTTTTTATTTCATGTTTTTATACTGAATTTACTTTCCCCCCTTTTTGTGTATATTTTTCTCGACTCCTTTTTGTTGTTGTATCATTTCTACCTTTTATTTTTAATACGAAAATACTTTTAAATAATCATGGTTATTTCCTAAAAAACCACAAACATATTCTAAATTTGATGAATACCTTTTAAAAAATGATGAACAATTTCTAAAAACTCAAGGATGTTTTTGTTAAAACATGACAAAGTTTTCCAAATTTTCATGACTTTTTTTTAAATATAAGAAGCATTTTTGTGAAACGCTTGGTTTCCTTAAATTACATGTTATTAAATTATTTGAAGATCCTTTAGCCATTAGTGGTGTTTCAGCAAGCATTTTATCTTTGGAGAGGAAAAGCACCACTCTCTTTTTTTTGTGGGTAAAGCAAAGCAGGAGTTTATTCACAAGTGACAACGCAGCGGAGCTCTACTCTGGGCTGGCTTCGGCGGCAGTTCTTCTTCCCGGTGCGTGTTTTAGCGGCATTTTGCAAATGGAGGTCCAATGTAGTAGGCGGCTGTGATGATTTTTTAGCAAATGTGCCGACGTTATATTGTACTAGAAGAGAAAGATAAACCTGCTGGCTCCGGCCCATGGAACGGGGCTTGGTCTCAGCCCAAAGACCTTGAGTCACTCAGAGTCCTGGCCATGGGAAGCTCGGCCCGGCCCGAAAAAGCCCGACCCGGCCCAGCCCGATGCTGTCCCCGGACCTAGAGTTTGAGCCCGAAGCCCAGGCCGGGCCGGGCCCAGGCCCGTCGTTTTCACGTTTTTTAAAGGTCGGGCCGGGCCGGTCCGAAGCCCGATAGGCTTTTACGTGTTCGGGTCGGGCCGGGCTCGGGCCTGGATTTTTTGCGTCGGGCTTGGCTACGCCCGGCCCGAGGTATGGCCAGGTATAGCTGTACCGCAGCGCGTTTGTTTCTAAAAGAACGGACGCTTGAGCAAGAAGGGAAGAAAAAATGAACACCCTATACTGTACTGATTACCGAACTGTGCAGCTACTCGCTTCATCTTTGCTTCCTCGTTCCCTCCGTAATCTGTTCGTGATCCAACACTGCCTATAACTAACATTTGTCACCTATAAAAACCATTAGTTTGCAAGCTAATTACTCCGCCCAGTCACCTCGCCGGCGGCATCTCCAGGCAGCCCGCGCCGCTCCTTCTTCTTGTTGGCGCCATGATGATGATGATGAACCTGTAGTGTAGCCCATGCCCCATGGCCATGGCGGCATGGCCCATTGGTTGGTTAGTGTTTAGCCTAAACAGGCTCAGCAATTCCCACATCCCGAGGCACGCCCTAAAGGAAGGGCAGGCACCCCGATCCATGCAGCAATTATTACTCACTCCCTCCCACCAGGACAATTCGCTCCTCGGCCTTTAAGGCCAACTCCACCCCGTGACCGCAAACGGACGTCCGCTTTGTCCGGATTCTGTCCGTTTGGGGAGGGATTTGGGATCATGTCCGGACGTGTCTTGGGATGCGGTGGCCGTGCGCCCAGCGCGCGGCCGCATCCATTAGCCCCATTCTGTCCGCGTATATTTCTTTGCAAGTCCTTAAAATTTTTTTATCATTCATTTTTGGTACATGACAATACATCATCACATTTTGACTAATAAAGCAAGGCCAAAGAAAATAAGAACCACAAGAATACATTTGAGAAGATACCCAACTTCCATAACTGCTTCCTTGAGTTGGGTTAGCGCATTCTCGATGCACTCATTGTTGATCTGTGGAGGAGGCACGATGAGGGAGTCCCGGACTAGGGGGTGTCCGGATAGCCGAACTATCATGGTCGGTCGGACTCCAAGACTATGAAGATACAAGATTGAAGACTTCGTCCCGTGTCCGGATGAGACTTTCCTTGGCGTGGAAGGCAAGCTTGACGATACGGATATGTAGATCTCCTACCATTGTAACCGACTTTGTGTAACCCTAGCCCTCTCCGGTGTCTATATAAACCGGATGGCTTTAGTCCATAGGACGAACAACAATCATACCATAGGCTAGCTTCTAGGGTTTAGCCTCCTTGATCTCGTGGTAGATCTATTCTTGTAACACACATCATCAATATTAATCAAGCAGGACGTAGGGTTTTACCTCCATCAAGAGGGCCTGAACCTGGGTAAAACATCGTGTCCCTTGTCTCCTGTTACCATCCGCCTAGACGCACAGTTCGGGACCCCCTACCCGAGATCCGCCAGTTTTGACACCGACATTGGTGCTTTCATTGAGAGTTCCTCTGTGTCGTCACCATCAGGAAGGATGCTTTTTCCCGTCTTTAAAGACGGCACCGTCGTCAAGGGAGCTTTGGCCGCCGGCCAGACTATCCGGCTAGGCGGTTTTCTTATGACCGCCTATTCGGCCACCGCTCCGACAATGACCTCTCAGGTCATTGAAAGCGATCTTCACGTCAGCTCGGAATTCGCCGAGTAGCTGGATCCGATTGAGCTCTCCTCCGTAAACGAGCTCTTGGATCGCATCGCCGCCCTGGGAGTCGCTACCGACTACGACCAGATTGGGCTTAAAACCGTTCTGAGAGAAATTAACTCTCCCCAGGTTACCCAATATGTTGTTGTGGTAGAGGAACAATGCGGCGACTCTTCTTCTATGTTAAAAACCAACTATGTACGGATTCCCGATTCCTCCATGCCGGATTCCCGCGGAGGGTCGGACGCTAATCAAATACTGAACCTAAAGTCAGGCATCGGACCAGATTTGTTGGAAAGCGTCCAGCAAACCAAGCTTCCGAGTCCGGAAGCTTCTTGGCCTTTGAGCCTCAGATCGGGCGGGGTTCCGAACTTAATTCCACCTGCCCACCCAAACATAAGCGATCTATCTCAAATACGGCAAGAGCCCGATGAAACAGTACATCATTACTGATGAAGGACTGCCGTGAAGAAAGCGTGATTTCAATCTTCTGCAACAATTGCACGGACAAGGGAATCATAAACGCCATCAGTCGTTGCAAAATTACACGCTTCGTCGACCTAGCGACCATTGTACAAAAATACTGCGCGATGGAGAGTGCCTGGAAAACCGAAACTAGGTTTTGGGACAATCCGGCCCTGAATACAACC